CTCAGGTGTTTTTTTTAAAAAACCCACATTTCCATTCTTTGCGCACCATCCCGGGTCCATGTTTTATGTGCAGGGCTCCAGGCACGCTCTCCCAGAAGGAAGGATGGTCACGTTTTTCATTACCTATCTCTACACAAACCTTCTAATAGCACATGGAAGGGAGTTATTAACATGTTTTGGTTTGAAGCATTGCCGGTCAGCTTGGAGAAACTACGGCTGAAAAAATATGACTCCCACCAAAAACAGCACCGGAGTTGTAAACACAAGGAGCCCCTTCCCTCCTCCATATTACTACTTGTAGCATCTGCACATCAAGCCATTCAGAGCAGTATTTTCTAAATCTAGCCTGCTGATCAGCAGCTAACCTGGTCCTTCCAAGATTTCCAGGTGTTGATCGGTGCTACCAGAGTGGGAGGGTGGCTGGGGTGTTTTGGGGAGCTGTGGAGCAGGAGGGAAGGGAACACAGCTCCCCTGTTTTGGCGGTAGTAGCATGCACTGCTACGGTGCCGCTCCAGTGCCCAAGTGTGCTCTGGAAAATAGCCCGAGGGTGGTTTTTTTTAAGAAAGTTCCACTTACATGCAATACAGCAGGGTTTCATTTTCCAAATTTCACATTATTGGGCAATGATGCGGTTGGCTTTTCTGGGTAAAAAAAAAGAGAGTAGTTAGGCAGCGGGGCTTTCCAGTGTTAATAATGAACCCACTGAAGTTTCTGAATGTCATCTGAATTTTTTATCCCAGCTCAGACGGGGACACGGATAGGCAAGAGCTGCATCCCTGAGCTGGGTCTCTCCCGCTGTGGGAGAGGGACACGGGGAAGGGAGCAGGACATGGAGGGCTGAGCACGCGTGTCCTCCCACCCTACAGCACGGCAGCCTGGCTGTCTGCTTCTCCCCTCAAATCCACCTGGCGTTTAGCCCATGCCGAATGCTGCCCTAAGGGTTTATCAAAGGACAGAAATGAAAGAATGGCACTCTTTCACTGTTGTGACAGATGTAGCTTCTGGATGTGGGGCACATTGAAAAGCTTCTGCATGGGGGTGTGACAAGTGACATGGAGAGCTGTGAAAGACCACTAAGATACGTTCAGATATGTTCCCAGCTCTGTGAGTGAATTTCCTACAGAACCAAAGCAAGCAGAGCTGCTGTAACCACAGCCCTTCTGCAAGTAACAGTCTGACCCATTCCAGTGGACCCTGATGAAGAGCCAACAAGCAGTGCTAAGGAGAAAGCACCTGGTGAAGGAGAGCAACTCTCCCACTGAGACAAGAAACCCATGGCAAGCCACTTGGATTCTACACAGAAAGCAAGCAATAGCTAGAAAACCAAGCATGCATCAAAAAACATTTTTTATTAATGCTTTTTCTTTCTCTAAACAATACTGTGGTAGTTTTTTAAGCCCTGATGTAGACCCATATATGTTGCCTGTCAACAATTTTATTTTTTTAGAGCGTTTCTGCACAATATGAGTTTTCTTTTTCACTCTTACCACTTCCTCACTCCTTTTTGGGATCTGTTCATTTTGTTGTAGGCAAAAATAGAATAATAAAAAACCCCTAACAAATAAAAGCTCCATAATGCTCAAAAGAGACCACTCTCTCCTTGAAACTCAACAGCAGCCGTCAGTGGTGTTTGACGTCCGTTTAACTTTGTGCCCTGTCCCCAACTGTGACCACTAGTGGAGGCTTAAGAAAAACAAGTACAAATAGAGCAATTATGTATTTATCTCATTAACTGAGTTTCTAATAAGTCGTCTTTTTTGGGGGGAGGGAGAAAAGTGGGCTTCACGTGATAGAGGTTGCAATTAATATGTTCCTTAATAAGACACCAGCTGATAACAAATCCCTAAATTTATTTAATTCCTTTTTTCACCTTCGTAACATGTCAATTTATTCTTTGAAAATTTGTTATTAAATGATTGAATTCTTTATTTCAAAATAAATTAAAATATATATTATCTATAAATATACGTTACTAAAATTTTGCTACCATCTATTTCTATTCACTCTATAGGATTCAGCACACCTAAAAGTACAGTTTGTATTTGGCAAATTATTACACCTGCTTGCTAACCTTTGAGCAGTTAGTTCTTGGCAAACCCACCACAGCCAACTAACCAGCCGACTAGAGCCAAAGATGAACCACAGAAACTTACTGCTAATCATTTCTGAACACCTTGGTTCTCTAAGCAGGACTCAGGTCAACGAGTGTTTTACCTTCAAGTTGGGTCAACGTGGCATTAGAATTTTACTCTCGGCATAGGAAAAAAAAATTTTTAGTAGCAAACAGACAACAGTTGCAATGGAAATAGTCGAATGAGAAACAAAGATTCTCACACCATTTTTATGGAATTGCATTTAACACTCGTAAAATTGATATATTATGGTTCTTATTTTCCATGTAACATTAATGAGAAGAGGCAGTTAAAAGAACATAATTCGATAATTGGCTTTAAGCATTTCCCTTTTAAAATAAAAACATGTAAATGTATGGGCTTTTTTTTTTTTGCTGTGAAAAAGCACAACACTTGTCTATCTCATTTATTATAAACAACATGTCCAGTAAAACAGGACCATCTGTAATTTTATATCATTTTAAAACATTTTGTCAAGCTTATGTTAGTAACATGAATTTCTGGCTGTTAGATATCTTCCAAAAAAATGTTGCAAAGGTTTTGAGAGTTGCATTAAAATTACATATACTGTTGCATAATGAAGAGCTTGCACTGATGTATTATGATGAGAGCCAGTATCTGTACACGTACAATAGAAACTAAACCTGGGGACTCAAATTCAAGACCGCAGATCAATTCCCAACCTCTCTGGGTTAAAATTGCCTAAGTGTGTTCTGTAGATTTAGCCCCAAGCTGTGAACTTGAATTCAGATGGGCATCTGTAGTTTTTGTCTCAGTTTTTGGTTGAGCTCTGTCCATGTACAACTATTACCAGAGTTTAAATTTTAACCTACCTTAAAAGCTAAACTGCAATTTGATAGATTGTTTTTGAAGTAAGATCAAGACAGACTGCAATGCAGTGCTTTTTCTTTCCGACCCTCTGCTGTATGTACCATACAGATGAGACTCTGCAAGAACCATTTAACGCCGTATCTTAACAAATAACAGAGCCAGAAAGGCTCAAGCCAAGCTCATTTTCTGGTGGATTGCTTCTCTGACACTGACAGAAAGGGATCGCTGGTTCTGACACAGTAAGGATTTCTGCTCACCATCTGTATATTCAAAATCTCTTTGGAACTTGAGGGCAATTTCCGACTGGCCAAGGGAAAACTAACAAAATCCATCATCTGTCATCTGAATTTTCGTATGATGAGAATTCATCATAACCAGGAGGGCTGCACTCATTGTTTGCCTAAGGTATGAAAGAATTTGGCAAAGAAGTAGCCACAACAAGCAAGGCTTGTCCCTAAAAATATTTATAATAGAAATCCATACAAACATAGAGCAACCTTTCTTTCATTTGGTGTTCATCCCATTTTCATTGCAGAAACTCAGTTCTCTTCCAAATAGCATTCTTTTTCCTCAGTTTCCACAGCCAAACTGCTAGCCAACAGCTTAAGAAGAAAGGGCTCAGAAGCTGAACCAGAAATACCTCTTTGTTTCCGAGGGATCAATGTGTCTTGTTCTGTCCCTGCGAATATTTGTGTCATTTTTAACTTTAGCTTTCATTAAATAATCCATAATGCTGAGTTCTAAACTTGCACTGTTGAAAGCAAAAGATGATTCTCTACTCCTTCTTAGAAATTAACCTGATAAGATAGATTTAAGGGGGAAACTTCAATAGCTCATAAGTTTTATACTTTTTGTCTTTCCAAGTGCCATAAAGGCATAGCATTTTTGCAGTTCAAAGTGTATTACCTTACTAAAAGTTTAGAGTATAGGATTTGTTAAGTACACAACACATATTAATCTGGCTTTGTGGAGCATTCTACAAAACACCAAAGGAGTTCAGTCCCATGCGTTTGCCTCTGAATAAACCATTTGCCAAAATCTGGAATTCCATCCTTAAACTGTCCTGGTCAGAGCGATGGTTTAAGAGGATGAACTCCTGTGTTCAGCTGGGGGAGAAACGAGCAACAGCTCAATTAAGAAAATGTGGATGGACAGATCTTTAGGCTGCTTTTACATCTCCTGACGCTAGAAGACGACAAATAGATGTTATGCTGAATTTGAATCTCTGGGGATTTTTAAGCAATGGTAACTGTGTCTGACTGTGGGCTGGCAGGGAAGGAGTTTCGGACCTGCATCCCTCCAGGAACCGTTTGCAATGAAGCTTCCCAACAGACTGAGGCCTAAATCCACATCTTAAAGGCACATAAATGCCTAGTTCCCAGCCTCAGAAGAAGACACCAGAGCTTAGTGCTCTCCTCTCGGAGGTGACAAATACAACCACTAGGCCTGTATGGTCACGGCCCCTCTCACCTCCTTCCAAATGCACTGCGAATCCTGTGCTGCATCGTGGAGTAACTCCAGTGGAAAAAGCTGAGTCACGCAGAGCGGCCTATTTACATCTCCGGTAGCTTCAGGTTAGCTATCTCCTGGTGGATAAGGCACCCTCCTGCACGATGAGGCCTTGAAAGTGCTACAAGCTAGAGGGAAGCTGGTTGGGTCACCGTTCCTGGGATGCCCGTGAAGGACCACAGCCATGGCTGTATTCTGTGAAAGCCCAGCCGTGCTGTTACATTCTCAGCTTGCCGAGGGGCTCAAGAGGCCTTGGTAGAAGAACAGCATATATCCAGAGCCTGTATGACATGGTAATGAGAGAAACATCAAACTACCCGTACTGGGACAGCTCTGAGCCTGCCCAGAGACACAGCTCCAAGCACCTCAAGAACTTGAAAGACAGGGGTCTGTGAAGATTAGTGGCAGCTGTTGGGCAGCGGAATTACTTGCATTGTGATTTTAGATTTATGGGGTGAATTCCTCCTCTGCCTTACATTAGTTATGTCCTTCACTTACACTACACAAAAAGCAGTATTTGCAGGCAGACAGATTACATGCAACTTCTGCAGCTACAGTTCATACCTCTCATTTCCAAATACTGCATCTGTTACGAAGCCCCTTACACGTCACCATTGGCTCAGCCCTCCTATGGAGTTTGGGATTTTTTTGGGAGGGGTGTTGTGTTGTTTGGTTTGGGTTTTTTTTTAGTTAGAGTGAAAATATCTGGGGGAGTCTGACTGAATCTGGGAATCTCTAGATCTGTATGGAGTGAAAACAGCAGCCAACCTTTGCTTGGGCTTTTTTGGTTAGAACAGAGACCAGACTTCTAAACCAGAATGCCATATGCAAAGACTTTGTTGAAGGAACATGGTCTTTCTGACACCAAAGAAGCCCAAGAGTTGTATCTTAACTATTTTTCCTTCCCCTTCATTTAATTTTATGCTTATTTAAGCATGGAAATCTAAATAGGCATGGGTGCCCTAGACCACAATGTTTTGCTCTGCCTGGGGTAACTAAAGAAAGTGTGAAATTACAAAATATAAGCTTTCACGCTTCAGCCGTAACTGATTATATGCAGTAATATATCAAGGAACAGCATCTAGATACACTCTGGCAAAACTAGACACGCGCTCTGAATTTTTAAGCATTTGGGTTTGGGGTTTTTTTAAACTACAAACTGAGAGAAGTCTGAACAATCTCCCGACCCTAGCCCCAACATTTTGGCTTTGATTCTCCAGAGCACTGTGATTCTGATGTACAAAACCATACGAGACGGATTGGTATACAAAATTTCCCCTCCCTATTACAGCCCCTCTCCCGTTGGCACAGATTAAAGACCGAGGAATAGTAGTAGGCAGCAAACACGATGACAGTCACTATATGACTGAGAGTCACCTGTGGATGTATTGCCATCCTTGCTCCACTGACAACCCAATGTGATTTAAAACATCCTTTATGTTGCTTTAAAATAATCCTGAAGAGTAGCTGTAAATCCTGAAAAACTGAAAGCAAGAATTACTTTGAGTCCTTTCTGCCATCTTCCTAAACTGTAATAAATTATAAATTCCAAATCTCTGACAATGAAAAAAGAAGTCCTGTTATTTAATGCATAACATTTCATCCATAAAATGGGTAACTGGATGCTACAGCTATAGTTGATTCTGCTAATAGATGGACTGATACTTTAATTACTTTCCAAGGTCCCTTTTGGCCCTATCTTCATGATGCTGTACTGAATATCTGAGTGAAATCATCAAGACGTTTGCGTAACAGATCTGTGTGCCCAATTGACCTGATTTGTTCCTGCTAAGATACTGCCCATGAGGAAAAGCAAACAGAAGACACGCATTTGTGGCTATTTAGGAAAAGGAGATCTTTCAACCTATTGGAGCAAGTTGTCAGTGAATATGAAGGTGAAGTGGGCACACTGATTTATTAGGTGCTTAAAGAAAAAAATGTTTAGGCTGATGAACCACAACTGAGCTAATTTAATGGAAGAACAAATCAATTAGAGCTGAACTAACAAAAATACCCTGTCTTGTCACAGACTGCCTACCTGCAACTTGAAATAAGCTCCAGATTTTGCGCATTATGTACAACAGAAAAAAAAAATTATTTCTGTTCTTGCGCAAATTCCAACCTTCTAGATAGTGACTGGTAGGTAGAGCTTTAATTTTTTTTTATTATTCCTTTGGAGTCTTCAGATTAATAAAATACAAACTTTGAACAGCCTGAGTAAGAAGGGAATATGGTCAGTGTAAGATGCACAGGGCAAAATAATCCTCAGCTCTAGACAGCAGTGCATGGGTAGCTGCTCCTAGACCTTACAGCAGGTTATACAGGAGTAGCTACCATGTACAAGTTGCCTTCCACAGCTGACTTGCCAAAAAACCCTCCACCATCTACTACTGCACAATTAAAAGGTTTCAGAAATCCCCCCTCTAGTATGAAGAAAACCAGCATCCTCCTTTAAAGATCCCCAGCTTTTTTATCCACGAAACAGACATGCACATCTATCCTGCCTTTCTGACCGTGCACATACAGAGAGGCCCATCCTAGAACAGGGAATGTGAAATATCCATAGATTAACCCATTCCATATATAACTTGCCGCTAGTGGAGCAGGATGCTAAACACCATTTGCTTCAGCTGAGAACATAAATCAGTGAATGATTATCTGTGAATGGTTGCCTGTTTATAAAGGCAAATACCAATCAATGTATAGCCTGAAGCATAAAGGATTGCTTGTAAATTTTGTCCTGTTTTATGTATCTGTGGATGTTATTTATGACAATTTTTTACTGGATCGACGTCAATGGATTCAAAGTATTTGAGGGTCAGCCACATTTAAAAAAAAAAAAATTCTGTAGACTTAGAGCAAGATTCATAAAAGCTGAAAAAAAAAGATGTTTTGAGACAGAAGGACAAGTATAGTTTTGAGAACGCACAACTGCCATCAGCCAACACAATGGAAAACAGGTTCTGAGAACATTCAGCATAACACTGTATCCCCCTTCTAAATCCCTTCATAACTAAACATCTGCAGTTCAGGTCTTAACCTGGCATCAGAGCAGTAAGAAAAAAAAATCCTTTCTATTTTAGCAGCCTGCTTATAATCATCTAAATGGCTCCTTTTGTATCTTCCTTTGAAAAACACCAAGACAAATGTAAAAGGAGTACACGGCACTCCCCTTTTGCAGTACAGCAGTTCCTATGTTTATGGCTGGAAAGCATTTTCTGGTACTGTTGAACGTTGTAACACTAGAGAGGACCAAAATAAGATGCAGCTATTCAGATGCTAAGTTGTGAGGGAAGCAGGGACAATCTGGAGGATGTATTTCTCAAAAGTGATGACTGAGGGTTTTGCATTTTTTCTTGAAAATTAATCTTTTCTTTGGTTTGCTTTTATTAAGACTGTTAGATGGCTAAATGGGAAACCAATTAAAGCAAGATGACTGGGCAAGTGATGTCTGATGTGTTTCAATTTGGTCAGCACTTTTGACCCCATAGCTGTTACCTACCATGGACGAAATACAATCTGTTACAGGAGTAATACAACCCTGATGTTTTGCTATCTTAAACCTGCAAGTCTAAGTGGAAGGAGACCCTGGAACAGACTCCAGCAAACTGCTCTGAAGAGAAAGATGGAGATATAATTCTATGTGTAACCAAAAGAAAGCAAGACCATAAAGATACACAAAACATGTAAGGTCACTGAGGAGGATACCCGCTAGACTACCGCTTTACGTGGACCAGGCTAACTAGACATGATGTAACTAGGCATGGGAATTATTTTCCGAAGTGTAATTAGCAGGTAGCAACAGATTTGCTAGTTTTGCTAGCTGCTTTTCTGATAAAAATGACCAGTAGGTTAGCACGAATATGAGAAAATATTTTGTCAGATTAAAAAAAAAAAAAAGGGCAGAAATAGGACGAATTTTGGTAGGATGTGGAATTATAAATTATCAGAACTGATGAACGGAATTTCTTATATGGCACCGATCACTATCGAGAAATAAAAGGAGATAATACTAGTGAAAGCAGGCAAATTAAGACTACCTTGTTTGACAGGTATTTAATGCCTCCATTCACAACACTGTCCCTAAGGGCAGAATCAGGCATGACCATCCAAGAGAGCTGTTCCCTGAAGGATACAAAGGAGACATAGATTGCTTATTCAAGCAGCCTCCTGCCATTTGCAATTCAAAGTGCTGCTTTGCTTTCCCAGGTCACTCAAAACTCTCTCGTGACTGAAGTCATAACTGGAATTTATTTATTCCATATCCTGTTTACTAATTCACTGATAAGTCCCTCTCACCATGCTAACCATTCACTGCATCACATGGCTTCTTTTCTACACTAGAACAAATCAGCCCTTCCGTTGATACCTTTGTAAGCACGTTGTCAAGATTTGTACCACTTCAACACCGAAGCAAAGCACTGGCCTTGTGGCCTGGAAGCAAGATATCACTGTGGCAACTCGATGTACTGGTGATACTGCATGGTTTTTCTTCTCTTCCTCCTTACTGTACTGCACTCCTGCCAAAACTTAACTTTACAGGAGAGTGATTCCTTTTGAGAAGACAGACAGGGCTGCCTCTATTGTCCTGACTCAGCACACTCAGAACAAAATGAGGACCAACTGCAGAAAGAGACATTTGTAACGCTTTCTCCAGAACATAAAATACACAGAGTGAATGCGCAGCTGGCCTGGTAGCAGCAACAGAGCCTAAGCCTTTGCTCTTCATTTGGCAGGAAGAGCTGCGGTGCCTGCATAGGAAGGAAATATTTTCTTTTCACCAGACCTCTTTGCCACATTCAAGAACACCAATGAGAAGATAACAGCAGCTGACTCAAGAAGCGGACAGAGCCTGTAAAGATTTTTCTTTTAGAAAATAGCCAGTATATTGCCGATCCAGTATACACGAAGTTTTCTAGGTTCCTATCAACCTTGATTATTACACCTCTAGTAATACAGAAACCAACATCCTGAGCTGAACAAATTCAAAGAGAAATGTCTTACTCAGGAGGAGGAAACTGCAGAATTAACCAAGATGTGTACCACAAACCGACTTCAAACATGTAAAATAAAATCACCAAATGAAGGATTTAATGTTGGGTTCCTAAGATTTCTACCATGCTGACAGTTTCTGTGATTAAAAAAAGCCACAAATCTTGTTCTCAGAAATTCATTATGTAGCATTGTACACTAAAATACAGGATGCTGCTATACAACCAAGCATCTGGGGAGATTAACCCCGATTTAAAAAAAAAAAATCTCTGAGAAAAGCAGCTATTTAATAGAACAAGGATGACGGCAGAATAAACTACCGGATTTGTGCAACTGAATCAAGTTGGATGTTAGGAAGTATTATTCTACCAAACAACACATCAAAGAAATATTTACCTTGATCCGAAGAGGTGCTGAGCACAAAGCTTCCAGTACTTTCCCACCAAAAAAACAGAGCAGTATCTTTACAGAAAGGGAGGACTAAAATGACCTGGAACATTCAGGAATATGTTTCTTCACAGTACTGAAGAAAAGGAATTCAGGGAACCCTCCTAAGAGGGTGTCCTGAGACATGGTGAATATGAACAAAGGGGCAGTCGAACCCACGTTGCAATGACAGCTGTGGGCAACAACAGAGAGACGAGAGGCCAGGAGGAAGATACTGCCACGCTAAGAGCAGTCTGAAGAAGCCTTTGGCTGAGTTGGAGAGAAAAACTGTGTAAGGGTTCTCTTCGTATGTTGTAAAGCTATCCTCCCACTACCTGTAGTCACTTCAAGGCTCGATCTCAACATGCAGTTAAGCGATTTCTGTACTACAGCTCTATTTCACCATTCTGAAATTCTACGTAAACACTACACTAAAACTGACAGTTTTCTTGCATTCAAATATATGTGGTCATTCTTCCAGCTACGAAGCATCATTAGTACTCGCAAAAAGTCTGCTCCTTGCACTAAATAGAATTGCTTAGCTGATTTTATAAGGCATTTACTGCAACTGCTTTTGGGCACAAAGCAAGCAGCCTTTTTTCTTCTTTTTTTTTTCTTTTCTTTTTTTTTTAATCAGTAAAGTGTCAGAATTGTCAGGAGTATCCATTAGCAAAGAATTTGTCCAAGAAGAATTCTATCATGTTGCTGTTATTACAGGAAAGACAAGAAAAGCAATCTCAGACAAGGACATATGACTTGGCAGACATGTGCAGCAGAGATATCAGCCTAATATTCCAAGAACAAACTCAACTACTGCCAGCAAGCTGACAGCTACAGTTCATGCGCATCTGCTGCTTCCCATGAACTACAGTTTGCAGAACTGTGAAGTCAGACTCTTAACAATTCTATCAAGTTAAGACGTTAAAGAAAAAACTCAGCACTCGGAACCCATATTAAAAAAAATTAATATGTTTTTTTCCAAGATCTAATATATAAATGCAATGGTAATAACGTACTCTTCTTTTGTAAGCTTGGATGAAATATATTGAAGTCCACTTTTCGCATATTGCATAAATAATCATCTAAAGCAACCTAGAAAAGAAGAAAAAAGCTTAAGTCCATATGGTGCAAAGAAATAATTGGGCATTAAGTTTAAAAAGCAATACATGAAACCGAATGAGGAACTGCAAAAAGGCTTGACAGTTTGCCTGTTTTATTTAGTGGTAGCATAACCATCACATTCAAAGGATAAAAAAAAGGCAGGTTTTGTGAAGAGAAGCATTATCTTTTAATAGACCAAACAGCAAATTATAAAAATAGGCAAGATTCTGGGTCCTTGCATCAGAACAATGGTCTATGAATATATGGGTGAAATGATGTAATTAAAGAAGAAGGATTAGAAGTGTTGATCAAAACTATGAGGTTCCACAGTCAGACACACATTATGATATTCAGAAGTTTTAGGTATTACATCCTCCCAAAATAGACACGTGAACCATTAGTTAATGATGCTTCATTTGATACTCTACTCTTCACAAACATATTAGCACAGAAATTAGTCTATCACTTAAAGAGTGCATAATATCACACCCACCGTACAGAAAAAAGCAGGATATGCCTTCACGGGAACTTTCTTACTGAAAGATCTAGCCTGAAAGTAAATGGGGTAAGGTGGAAGGGGAAGGGGGGAAAAAAAAAATAAATGTACTTATCAGGAGGATTTAACGTTTCAGATTAAACATCAAGTACTATACACAATGGTTAGAGCCAACAGACTGTATTACAAGCTTCGTCCTTTTTATTTTGACATCCTGAAACTGTAATTTTCCATTCTGTGCAAGCCAGCACCATCCCTCACTGTACACAAAAGTAGTTACCCTGAAAGTATGTAATACTGGGAGAGGCCTGCAAAAATTCTTACATGTTTTGACAACCTTACAGTTGACATATAATAAACCAATGTAAACTAGCATCCCTTGTTCCAACAAAGTTCCAAGCTGCATCTGATTTAATAAATACGGTTTAATGCTTTTTTCCCCCCACCAAGTAACTCTTTGCATCCCAAGAGACAGAAATGATGGAAGACCAGATATGCATTTCTCTGAGTGCATCTTTTTGGTCCAGTGTTGCCATCAGTCCCAGAAGTCCAGTTATGCTCCATTTACATTTATGGGACTTCAAAAGGATCTCAATGCCTCAGGTCCTCAGTATCTACGGATGAACAGTCTAAACCATGGCTGAACCAAATCCACAATTTAAACCCATGTACAACTCAGGTACATCTAACAGAGCTGAAGCAAATCTTCCTGTAATGCTTACTTATAAACACAGAATCCTTCCTTGTTTTGCCTTTTCTTACAGGTTAAAACAAACAAACAAACCAACCAACCAACCCTCTATGAATACTGATGAGAATGTATGAGTTTCTGCTAGTTTTCCACGGATCTTTCCAAACAACAGAGAAAATCAGACTGAAAGTTTAGGAGGGAAAAATACTGAATCTTTTCAGAAGGCAAATTATTTTAAAACTTTGAAATGTAATAACGTGTGTGTGTGTATAAAAAAAAAGGAAAATGCTCTTCCCTGATCTAATGCTCTGCTTTACTATTATTAATTGTGAGATGAAAAAAGAAAGTAATCTTGCTTGTCCTTCTTAACCCAGAATGGGTCGCATGTCATTCAGAAAGCACGTTATCTTCCTCAGTAAATCGAGCCCATAATGAGCTAGCATAACTGAGATAAATGCAAAAAGCCAAAAGGAGACCCTCTTTTAAAAAGAGGAATGGGGGAGAGGGTGCTTAAGAGAAAGAAGGGGAACATGTAAATGTATTCGCAGGCTTTCAAAGGGATCACTGTGGGACTGACAGAGCACTTTTATTATATGCTTTTATTCTAATAAAACACAATTCCTAAAGAAAAATGCAACCTTCATTATCTTATTTTGCCCTCTGCTGGTCATCAGTCGCAGTATCAAGAAGAGCTGACCACACTTCAGAAACTTTTCTCCGAAGATTAAGTGCCACATTACTACAATATGTTTCATATAATATCGCTGAGACTTAATTTAGCATTTGAGGATTATGTTTCTTCTGACTGTGAAAGGGGGCTAGTAACTGTTACCCTCATCCTCCAAAATATGTGGTTTGTGTAACAAATGCTGAGATTGTGGAAACCTCTCTGAAGGTTTAAACTTTACCCTGCCCTGTAATTCCAACTAAGACAGAGGGTAACTGGCTGAAAAGACCCTCAGGCAAAACAAGATGTTGATTTTTTACAGGAGAACAGACGCATTTAAAGGCACCAGCCCATTACATTCACGTAAAGTCTTGAAATACCCAGCAAATGTTGCCAGCAAAAGCCCATTTCATCCATTAGGGGAGAAAGTATCTTTATCCTTGCATTAACAAAGACCATCTGATTATCAAGGAGGCTAATACCCTGTTATTACTGCCAGTTATTGCCAGTTCAAGTGATTTGAACACTCTAGAGATCCTGCACTGTCAATTATTCTTCACTGATGATGACGGAGGCTGGAAGCAAGCATTCAGAGAGGAATTTTTTTATTTTAATTAAGATGATATAACCCATCCATTTTAAAAAAAAAGGGGGGGGAGGGCAGCAAGATCAACATTCAATCAAATAAAATGCTAATGCTGCCCTAATCTGGTTTCCTTGTGTTTATTCTGTAGTCTCCAATTACATGATCACATTGCATATTTTCCATAGGACCCTCCCAGTGCATAACATGGGCAGGGCTCTAGGAATGGAGTAGGAAGAAAGGGGGGGTAACGTTCTGCCTGTTCTCTTCAGAAGCTGGTTGGCATGTTGGGAGCCAGGGGATCAACACACTAAGAATTATCAAATTATCTGAAAGGCTCTGAAGAACTGAATTATCTCCCTGCTTCTGTCCCAAAGTTTCCCTGCAATACCAGCAACCAAATTTTAAACAGCTGGACAATAAATGCACACTGCTTGTTTTCCATGCCTCCCATACTCCCTGATATGAGGCATTTCAGGTCAGGTACTCGGCACTTTTTGTAAGCCACAGCTGCAACCAAAGTCAGTGGGTTTTATGCACTGTGCATTATGGGTTGAAGGGTGGGGAATAAAAAAAGAAAAATCAAAATATTTCAGTTTGAACAAAGATAGAGGACAGTTTTGACCTTGCATTTTCTTTGTCTCTGTTCCCTGCTTCTAAATGGAATAAACAGTTTCCTTGGGCATGTGACAACAAAAACTGAGACATCAGGTGAAACAACATGAACAGGAATGCATTAAATGCAAATTATAAATAATCTGTATTAAAAATAAAGCCCAAGGCTACATATTATTAACAAAAAATAAAAACATTAATCAACTAACTAACCACTGACTGAACAAACCAGGGATGCCTCATTTTACCTTTAGAAAAATGAAGAAGGGCTCTCCTATCTCTACTGCATAAAATACTGTGATTACAGGTAACGCTGTAATTGGGGATTATGTTAATGGTGCAAATGCAGAGATAAATCTGGCATTTCTTTACTTTGAAGTGGTAGCTTTTCAGACTACCTTGACTGGAAGTATTGGGTGCAATACTCAAAGTATACGCGTACATGTACTTGTAGACGTAAGAAACTCTTTACAGTGCTTCTTGCAAGTTTTGTTTTCCAGATACAGCATTGCTGATGAAACATTCTTTTGCTTTTGTGTTACGTACCAACAAGCAATTCAGAGTGTAGCTAAAATAAAAGCATAAAAGAAAAATAGAGTAGGACTCTGCAGTTCTTCAGGATTCATTATCCACCGTTCCAAGCAAAGAGTCTTTCCTAATTCACTTGGCTGTGAGCCAGAAAAGAAATAAACAGAAAGCACCTTTCCCAACATGGCTTTGAGCATGGCTGGTCATGTCAGGGAATGAATACCCCCTCCCACACACACTAGCCAGCAGTTAAAGGCAACATGCTCTGCTTTCCTGGCAGCCATTTCACTGTGCTGTGAAATACCATATGCAGAAGTGCTTTCTATGGTGCTGATCCCATGCTGGCATATAGTTGCATTTATAAAAGTCTGCTTGAAGTTTCTCTCCCAGTAATTAAGGCTTTTAGGCAGTATTTATATATATATGCAATTGGACCTGGCTGAGAGTAAACTGCCTCCTGTACATACAGATAAATATAATATTCATACAGAAGTAGTTGTAATATTTAAAGGTTTTGTGTGGTGGTTTTTTTTTTTTTTAATTTAAACTCTCAAAGTAATTAAAGGTAAAATATTTGAAATTAAGTATGCAGCTGTAAGTCTTCTAACAACACATATGCACAATGCTTTGTGAAGATTAGCTTCAGTTATGTTTGTTTAAATAAATAAAAGAGAAGGAATCTCACATGTTCTAAATGAATATGGGCCTGGCTGGCAATGTCATAAATTACATCTCTCACATTTTTCTCTTGCTTGCCTCTTATGAAATCCTCTTGTGAAACTCCATGCTAGACATAGGAAGGAAAATAAAAAAGAGAAAAACTCTCAGTAAATACCAAGTTTCCATTTTAGCTTCTCAAAGACCTGTCCCAGCAACTGAACTAATGACACAAGACTAAAACAGCCTAAATCTTTTACCACTGCCCCCTCCTTTTTTACTTCCCTTTTTTTTTTTGGTCAGTCACTTGGGAAAAAAAGAGTCAAGAGAACAAAGAGAACAGTTAGTACAGACTCCCTCTGCATGAATTTTTTCCCTAAAGACTTTGTGGTCAGTCAGCTAACCAAGTCAGATTTTAAAGTTTTGGGAATGTAGATGAGTTGAGACGCCCAATTTTTAAAACCATAATCCATGAATCAATATTAAGGAGAAGAAAGCCAGTAACAGCTAACACAGAAGCCATGCTGGCTTATGAAGTAAGTCATTATCTTGGGACTGGTGTGCACCACCAGGCGTGCAAAAAACCCAAACCACCACCACCACCACCCCAAAAAAACCACACCACCAAAAAAACCCCATCCCAACCCCCCAAAAAAAACAAACCCCAAACTTATTCTTTGACTATAGTGACCAATGTAAGACATAATATGGTATATTCAGAATTGCACCAGTTGCCTGTTCTTCTCAACAACACTCGGACGTGAAAGCTGTATAAAGGTAGGCAGGTAGGCTTCACCTACCAGACTCCAGTAGAACTCTGCAATACTTGCCAGCAGCTGAAATGCTTACAAGATGCTCAGTCTGCACAGAAGGGATGCAAGCTGTTTTTACAGTTTCACTGTAAAACACCTTCCATGGCAAGGAATGACTGTGAATTTTCAGGCTATGTTTGAAAAGCTAAAAACTTGGAAGGCCTCCCATACCTTCCAGTCCCAGAAGGGCTGAAAGCAGGGTGCAGCTCCTTTCTGCCGTCTTATAACCCTGACCTATATTAGTATCTATGTTTTTTGCAACTATCTAAATTACTAAACTTCAAATCAAAACTTTCAATTCTATTGAAATGATATTCAGAAAATACTAACACAACTGCCTTAAGCATCACCATAATTACATAAATTTTGGTTGAGTATAAAAAGAACAGCATTAACATTTAAAAATGAAGACTGGAGATGAAGGAATAGCAGCTGCGATGCCTACAGATCTAGCCAGAGAACATTAATGAAAAAATTTGAACTTTAATCCCATTTTACCCAAATTGCAAGATCTGCTAAATTCCAATGGAAATTAGGTGTACAGTTTAAATTGGAGGACTATACCATCTCCCACAGCAATGTATGGAACATATGCTTATAGCTATCAAATATGTAACACCAAAAAAACCCCACCAACCCCAAAAAAACAAAAAAACAAAACCGCCACACATTTATGAAAAGGTAGTAAAGAGAAACCCAAGAAGGTTGTTCAGAAGTAAAATTTCTCACAGTGCTTCCTTTATGGGGATAGGAAAGGAAAAAAGGAAAAAAGCAAAACAAAACAAAAAACCAGGCCCCAATCCATATGTGTATTTCTACACATAAATGGAAAAATTCCTGAAAGCTAAAATACTACTACGTTTAATAAAATTAAAAAACAAAAAAACAGACACCCTGGAGTTTCATGAAGGTCACTCCTCTCACCTCCCAAAAGATATAAAACCATGACTATGGCATATTACTAAGCCACAGCAGAAAGAGTTAAAATAAAAAGAAAAGGTGTTCTGTTTCTAGCCTAATAAATTATGATCTCATATCTAGCGTTGAGAGACACAGTTAGAAACACTATACTGTTCAATTCCAGACAACTTGCTTCTCTTACCAACATACAAATGTCCATGGGAAGAAAGACCTTTTGTCTTGTACTGTGATACGGAGTTGCTCTTAAACAGGTAACTATGCCTTGCGCTTTCCCAATGTGACTGGCTGCATGGTCAGCATGGATGTCCCTCACACCTAAAATTGCAGAAATAATATGTTTAGAACATACTGTCAGACCTTTCGAGGGGTATAGTCTTCCCTGATGCATATCACAGTCATATTTAAGGAAAGCTAAGTGCATTGGTCCATCATAGAACTGTCTATGTTCATAAATTGCCTTCAGATCTCATCTCAGAGGTGCAAAGCAGCAGGCAAATTCATTGATTTCCACATTCAGGAGCAAGGTGCCTCTTAGCTTGTTGCAGTTTCTGCAAAGGGTACACTTAGCGGAGCGGCACCTATTCAGATATAGTACCTCAGTACACAAACTCATTTTCATTGACACGCCCTCTCCCAGGGTAACAGTATTCCAGGGACTGTTTTTCCTGCCAGAAAAATCATTTGAGTTTGATATTGCTGACAAGCGTTAATGCTTACAGCATGGTTTCATGATCAGCTGCAGCTGATTCAGCAGTGTACGGAAGCCAAAGAGAATGGTCCTATGCTCCCTCCTGAACCCGTATTTCTGCCACCTCCCTTGTGCTGTCGTGGGCAATGAGGCAGTAGCGTGGCAAACTGAACCAGATCACCAAAGCAATGGAAAACTAACTTTAGTTACTGCATGGTCACACAACTGTGAGAACTGAAAGAAGAGGGAGATGAGTGGGGCAGAGCAGCACCATCACTCTTCATGGCAAGACCATACAAGATTGACTTAGACTGATCATAAAGCCATAATGTTTTCACAGGACTGACCCGGGATAAAATGAAAATTTAAAGGAAAATTGAAATTAAAATTCACAAAAGCTCTAACAGAAGCAGCATTCTACAAAGAAAGAAATGAGGATACAGGAATTACAGACTAGTGAGCCTAACTGACACCTGAAAACGATCCTGGGCGTACCAGATTTACTGCCCAAGCCTGCCTGAGCCTTGCCGGGGTCTCAGAAGCCTGTGCGAAACAGTGACTATAGGTAGACCACATTGACTTATTTTGGCAATGGCAGCAGAAAGCAGAGTATGGCTTGGAGGAATCAATGGATATAACTTACTGATACTGACTGGGCAGCTTAGGCTTTACATATAACTAGGAATTTAAAAAAAAAAAAAAAGCTCAAAGAGTAAGAGTTAGCAGTGACTCATGCTCCAGCTGGGAATATATCCCAAAAGTGAGGTTCTGAAAAGGTTTAACAAAATTGTTGAATAGTACCAAACCCCTAACTACTTAGGCAATGAATCAGAGAGCACAATATTAATATTTTTAAATGACAGGAGCTGGGAAGAAGTACCAGGACTTTGGATGACAAAATTACCAGTCAAAATGAGCTTGACAAAAGAAGTAACCTGAAATCAGTAAGAATAAAGCAGCACTGCTACTGGGAGAGATACACACAAACTAGAGACAGGTCAGGAATAAAGAAGGTAAAAAGCACAAGAAATTTAGCAAACATGACCTGTAATGAAACCAGGTCTCCCTAGTCTAGAGAAGACTGCTGATGGGAAACACCAAGAAAAGGGCTGTGTTCAATTAATTTACTTCTCTGTTTGTGGGAAAAAACCACAGAAGTTAACTGTTTAATATGCAATGAAGGAGACTTTTGCTTAGATAATTTTGTTACACTGGTATATTTAAGAGAAGTTAAACATGACAATAGGACACCTAGCAAAGCCAGAGCCCCCACAACAGATTTTCAAGAGAATCATCTGACTTGTACCAGGAGTGACCCAAGCATGACTGACTTCTTCAGGATCGAAGACATTTCCCAGAATGGAAGATGCTTATATATCTCATTCTCCTACATTTCTTCAATCAGAAGTTCAGAAGGACACTTGCAACATTTCACCGATTTCTTACTGAGGGAGCGAACATCAGATGTTAAGAGATGGGTTCCTCATTTCTTCCTAAGAAGAATGTGCTCATCATATCTCTCTTTTTAGTTTTTAAACTCTTTTAACCTCAGCATTGGCCTTCCATCAGACTGCTCTGATAAGCAAAAGGAAAATACTGCTACTACAATACCAAATACTACTAAATAATAGTAATTTTCACCCTTCTTTTACATCTGAGCTCATACAGGGAATACTTCCATAATGCAACAGACACCTAAAAGAATGTTACCCTTTTCTTCACTGTAAATGAACAGTTCTTTCCCAACCTGTGACTATTATATTAGACATGACAGAGATACTAGCTCTTAACCACCAGGATCACATCATCTTTGTTGGGTTTCTTCTAGCTATTCAATTACTGATAGTTAACCTACTTTTAGAAAGAGGAGAGGATTCAGACCCAAATTTACAACATCGCCAAGGGAAGTTTACAGGTTCGGAAGTCAGCTGTTTCAAAGTAACCAGTGTACATCACCGCAATATAGAACAACAGCTGCAGAATAACTACAGCACTTTGTGTTCTGACAAGTGGGACAATCAGAAAATATGGTGAAGAGCTGAATTTACCACCCCCCGTAATAGGAGCAAGAAAAGAGAAAACAGTGTTAAGCAACAAAGAACAGAGCGGTAGGAAACCGCACTTCAATGAGCTTTCCACTGAGCAGCTTCTAAAGAAAGTACGTAATTCTAGGACAGGTGCAGTAAGATTCCAGATTATGGTTGAGCATTCAAAAGATATCTGAAGTATTACCTAAGACAACTTCTACTGAAATTAAACTCCAGTGGAAAAAGAGTGGGCTTTTTGAAACATCAATAAATATTGTACCTGCACTAATGAGTTCATCAACAAAATCTAAAAAGGGGAAAATGCCTACCCAGCATTTCCAAGGTGAGGTACAAGAGAGCACTCTGAGTGTTCTCAGCATATGTTTCAAGCTCCTGGATGTTACGGTACGCTCTATCATCCAAATTCTTCTCCTGTAATATGAACACAGAACTTCAGTAAAATCTAAACGTAACTGCTATTTGTGCAAGTTTTTTACTACAGTCAGGTCAGCCTAATCCACTATTAGAAAAAAAAGGACAAAATCAAGAGACAGAGAGTATAAGCTCAGATAGAAGTAGTCATTAAAGCTTATAGCAAGTCTAACATAACCAAATAACTACATGCAACTGCAGCCAAGTCTGGTTAACTGGAGCAAATATAACCTTTTCCAATAATAAGAAATCAGAATTCTTCATAAAAAAGACACAGCCAAAACAAAACATCATATGGTATTCTTACACTATGGGGTTGCCAATTTTAATACTTAATTTGCATCTGAAGCACAGAGAAATTTAGATAAATAAGAACGTATTTTTTAAAACATGCACAAAAATCAATCCATCAAATACACACGAGTTTCAAAGTCATATGCAAATACCCCCCCAAAATATAACATCCTCCAGCATTCTTCCTGTCCTAGTGGCTTTTGTGGTTAAAACATACCAATCTTAGGATTAAAAAACTCTGAAGTCTTTCATAGCAATGACACTCCGCAAGTAACTGACCATCAACTTTCTCAAGGTATAACTTCATGAGACACTAACTTTAGCAGCAAAGCTAGCTTAAGAAATTCCTGCCCTCAGTTATTCATTCTTGCCCTTGTGTCAGAGTTGGTAGCAGCATCACTGTACCAGTGAAATTCCTCCTCTTGTTTTTCCCAGAAGAGTGGTTATCTTAAAATTCACGCGATTTGAATGCTCCAATTTACAACACTGCTTAGAAAAAACTCCACAGCCACAACAAGGAGAAGCAGCTAAGTGTGGCAGAAAGGCTCAGATGGGTCATGTAATTTTTGAGATTTTATATCCATTACTCATCCCAAGAGAAGGCTATTTAGGAGCAAAATTGACATGGTAAGAAAAGAGGTGAGGAGGAATAAGGTGATGCCAATGATAGAGATTTGCGCAACTTTTTGCAACATGCAAGATGTCCTTTCTCTTGGGGCAGGACTGGAATGGCAAAGAAGAGACCGTGTACAGATTTCCCTTCTTGCCCATCTTCAACTCCATTTCTATTAAAATGTAGTTTTCCAGAATTCTTAACATTGCATATGGAGACCTCACTACTTAATCCCCTAGGGTGGAATTTCCCTCACTTACACACAGAAAGGTATCTAAGTGTACCTCCCAATGGATTACCTCTAGGGGTAACCACTTCAAATCAGGAATAGAGACCAGCAACAGAAAACATGAGCATAGATACGCTGGTTATCAGAGCAGGGAACAAGAAAGATGTCGACCCACAAACTACATCTATTTTAAAGTATAACTAAACAAAGGATTCTATTAGCCGTTTTGGCTAGAAATAACAGAAATTATGAGTAGGGGGCATCAAAGGAGAATTAAATGGAAATATAGAAGTACCATTCCTAAAGAGAAATACTACTGTCTGGAAAAGATTAATTACTTAAGCTTTTGTTTTACACACAAATACATAAAATTAAGGGGGAAAAAAACATATACAACTAAAACCAGAATCAGACCTTGAATGGTAAATACTTACTCTTTCATCAATGATCTTCATGAACCACATTTTAGTCAAGTTATGCCTCTTGACAGCCTGAAAATTATCAAATATAACATCCATGTTAATGTATACAAAGTGATGGTAGTACTGCATCCTGAAGGCTGAAATATATTTTAGATAATCCTTTTCTTACAAGGATTGTATTCACTGGGTTAAATCAAAGTGTGTATGTGGAAAATCAAAGTATGTCAGTGGAAAATCATAGAATCATATGATTGGCTTCTTCAAATACAAAGATTTTCATCTGGCGTTTGTTACAAGTTGTTGCACACAAAAAATGAAATCTTGGACATGAAGCATTAATGTTAACTAAAAGCATTTCTTTAAAAGTATTTTTGAAAGTAATTTATTCTTTCATGGAGTCATATGTTCCCACAAAATATTTGCAGGTAACTATGTTCACTCTCCAAAGAGAGCAGAGTTTCCTCCAGAGTCAATCAGTAAGATTTCCCCTGTAAATTTTCAAGCAAACATCAGTACCACATACCAACACGTACTATAAAGACAGCATCCTAACAAAGTAATATAATGAATATTATGGTTTTGTTTAAAAAAGTATCCCACAGCATCTCATATTCACACATTCTTCTTTTGGCTCTTATCTGTACTTGACTTCCTGTACCACTTCATTCTATCAACTTACCTTCAATCCTCTTACACACACTGAATTTTGCAGACCACACTGTCAGAAAAGGTTACAACCACACATATAAACGTTTATAAACAAAACCTATGAAGCACTGTCATGGTTTAACCTCAGTCGGCAACTGAGCACCACACAGCCACGCACTCGCTCCCCCCACCTCCAGTGGGATGGGGGAGAGAATTGGACGAGTAAAAGTGAGAAGACCTGTGGGTTGACATAAAAAGTTTAATAATTGAAATAGAATAAAATAATAATAATATAGATAGTTATTATAATAATATAAATATAATATAAAAAATAATAGAATATACAAAGCAAGTGATGCACAATGCAGTTGCTCACCACCTGCCAACCGACACCCAGCCAGTCTCTGAGCAGAGGAAATTAACTCTGTCCCAGCCGAAACCACGACAAGCACATTTCTCACAATCTTAGCCTTTATAGCTCACTTTCAACTTCTTTTCATCCATTATATTTGTAAATATTTTTTGAAGGTTTGACAAGACTAGATCTCCTTGTTGATTCAACAAAATCTGCTTGAGGAAGTACTCGGTATGTGAAAAGGGAAATTTTAAGTTACAACTACAAATGTCAGTTTTGCTTCTCACTTGTTCATCTTGAGTGTCATTTTGTAAATGAAATCCTTGAAATAGTCACAGGTCAAGACTTAAAGCACCAAACTGAGTACTGCTAAACTACCCAATTTGTACATTACATCCATTTTGAGCTACCTTCACTCAAACACACAGGTCCTCACTTTTCAAAAGTTTTGAAAATTGGTTTCTTCCACAGAATTGAATGGAGAATTAGGCCTCACTTCTCATATGTTCAAAACAGATAAGTAAGAACAAATATCATACAGTTGCCGTCTAAGTTTATATTAAAGTCACTGAGAGTTGAGCTATTAATAATTCTAGAAATACTATTAAAGGCTATTTACATACTGTACTAGTCCATAAAGCTCTTGGAGTCCAAATGCGAGTACTCTGGGATATACAAAACCTCGGGAACACATTTAACATGATTAGTATTTCTTCTGGAAAATCAAAATTGTCCTCATACAAACTCAACAGCAAGAAAAGAGTATACACAAAATATGCTGTGCAAAAGACATGCTAATTCTATTAACAGCTCTGCAACACTTGAGAGTTCAGGTGTCTTTCCAAAACCTTCTTTCTAAGAATTGCAATGACATTCTTGAACATTTGTGAATAGGTCATTCTTGGGGTATTTGCTGAAATGTAGAAATAAAGTCACAGCTTGAATGCAAAGGTCACCAGGTCAGGTTGGATTGTAAGTTCGCTCCGGCGCTCTGCAGTGTTCAGAGCTATCAGAGCTCCTAAAAATACTTTCTGAATTCTTTTTCAACATCTTATTTCACAACCAGTTCTGTTTGGATTGTCTTATATTTGTCTTCCTTCAGAGAAATCATATGTAAGGTGAAATCTTACCACAAAGATAGGCCAATTCTTTCTTCCCCTTTAAAATCAATTTTCTGTTTTGTGAGAAAGGAGTATGACTAGCAGTCTTAGCTGTTGGAAAGGGTTGCAATTGATAGCTCAACATCTGAATGATTTACATCTGCATGTTGTGCTGGTTTTGGCTGGGATAGAGTTAAATTTCTTCATAGCAGCTTGTATGGGCCTATGTTTTGGATTTGTGCTGAAAATAGTGTTGATAACACTGTTGATAACGAACTGATGTTTTAGTTACTGCTGAGCAGTGCTGACACAGTGTCAAGGCCTTTTCTGCTCCTCACACTGCTCTGCCAGCGAGTCGGCTGGGGGTGCACAAGAAGTTGGGAAGGGACGCAGCTGGGACAGTTGACCCCAACTGACCAAAGGGATATTCCATACCATATGACATCATGGTCAGCAATGAAACTAGGGGGGAAGTTGGGAGGGGGTCCACTGCTCAGGGACTGGTTGGGCATCGGTTAGTGGTGAGCAATTGTTTTCATTTGCATCATTTGTCTTTCTTGGGTTTTATTTTTCTCTCATTTTTTTCTCTTTTCCTTACAATTTTTATTATTACTATTGTTGTTGTTATTATTATTTCTTTTTAATTATTAAACTGTTTTTATCTCAACCCACCAGTTTTTTACCCTTCCCATTCTCTCTCCCATCCCACCAAGGGGGCGTGAGCGAGCGGCTGTGTGGTGCTTAGTTGCTGGCTAGGGTTAAAACACAACAATGTTTTGGATTTTTTTTTATAAGTTACTCTTCTGCTAATAAACATTTCCACCCCACATTGATGCACACACAAGCAGCCTCAAATTAAAAGCTGTCAAAAGAATATATACAATCATACCCAAAGCTAACTTGTACCTAACCCACTCCGTCAGACAACTAAATGAGAGGGTATCTTCAGAAACAAAAATAAGTTAATGTACACTAAAGCAAGTTCCTCCTTGGAAAAGAGACAAAAGCATTTTGGGAGAAAACGGTCTTGTTCCTGGGAAGTTTGCCATATGCTGGAAGAGAGACAGAGAGAAGGAAATAAAAAGCAAAGGCACAGACAGACTGACATGCAAAACGACCAATTCTGCATTTTAATGTCTGCATTAAAATATCACCCTGGGTGCATCTTCAACTCCCATAATCCCATAAAAAGGCTCACAACATTTGCCAGTCTTCATTCTAACTGTACAAATGCTTTGTTGTGGCTAAGGCACACACTTTATCTGAGATGGAGACACCTATGAATAGCTCTGGTCTTCCTAAGTGACTGTAACAGGTGTTTTATTTTACTTCTTGGCTTTACCTATGTTTTCTCTTAGTTAAACAAACTGTATCTTGTTTAAATACGAATTTTAATCTAAACACGAGTGTTGATAGACAGGAACAAATGCTCACTTATGCTTTATTTCACATTTCAAGGAGGAAGAGTCAGGGAGAGGCCACAGTTTCAGGACTGCCAAAAATCACTGAAAGAAGATTTGGAAAGGACTCATTTTTGTGGTCTCAGAGGTGCAGCAGGGTGGATGTGAAGCCAAGACGGCAACAAGTGAAATGCTCTAATCCCGCAGGAACTGCATTGTTCTAACCCAGTGTTACAGTCAGCGTCCTGCTTTTCTCAGGATTTTAACAGACACAATGTAGATTAATATTTGGATGAAGACTCCATGTTTCACTGCCTGTTTTTCAGCAGGTCCACAAACCTAACTACCCATGGGATCTACATTAACTGTATTCAGCTATTGAGATCAAGACAAACTGCAGCTTTCCCTGTCCAGAAGCTGAGAGATGTTTAGTTCAAATGCAAGTTCTGATCTTATAGAGTAGAGGCCTTACGGTAGCTGCTCTTTTGAAAGGTTCTGAGACTTGCTGTAGCCCGTGGCCCTAAGATGACAAGTTAGCAATATATGGAATTCCCATCCCCGAAGAAATTCAAAATTCAACTCAATGTGACCCTGACAACCTGATCTAACTTTGATGTTAGACCTTCTCTGAGTGGCAAGTTGGACTAGATGACAATCAGAGATCCCTACCAACTAAATTATTCTGTAGTTCTATATCAGCATCAAGGGGAAATCCATTTACGCTGCTTTCAGACCTTCAATCATCCATCGACCATAAATGCCAGTCCTAACTAGAAACAAAAAATTTTGCAAGAAAGCCTCCGTTTCCTTGGCCATGACCAGGAGAGGAACAGATCTGTAGATGTACTTTATGTGTGATGTTCTGGTGCCTGCAGAGCTCAGGCATCTTGGTAAAAATAAACTGTTAAGTTCACAAGTACATTCCCTGTTACTCAATGCACTGTTAAATTCACAAGTATGTTCCCTGTTACTCAGTGCACACAAAAGGATCTGTGCAAAACATAATATATAAATAGAAGTCATCAAGCAACTCTTGATGCAAGAAGACTGTATTATGATTCTTCTTATTATCCAGTAACTAGGTATGAAGGTCTTGGGCTTTTCCTCATACCCTATTTGCTAGTTCAACCTCTGTGCTTAGTCTCCTGTCTTTTTGTACAGCTTAATCTCTTCAGGCAGGACTACCACTGGCTCAGGAAAACATACTTAGGCACTTCACTTGCTATCAGCTTACAGCTTACCACAATTTACTCTGTCCTTCACCTAAACAGAAGAGAAAAAAGCAGATGGTTCACAGAAGTCTGACCCTCCAAGTAGGTCCTATCTAAATATCCTCCTTCTCCAATTCTGCTCTTTGGTTGTAGGTTAACTTAAAACGTCACGCACATACACAAACACAATTTACATTATCTGTTTTATATAAAATAATGCTGTTAACTATGCAACACAGCACACACAAAACAGTGACATTATTTCCCACAGTAGTATTTTAGTCAAGTGAATTTTAGGACAATAAAGGTGTATTTTACCCTCCACAGTTCTGCAGCAACTGGCTGATGTGGTGGGTTATCGCAGTATATATCTTCCACAGCCTCCCTCCAGAACTGCATTCGCATCAAACCTGTAGTCTTCTGAGTTATGGAGTCTTTAATCTGGAAAGGATACATGTGGAGTAAAATTCAGAGTGTCTTTAAGGCACTTGGTCTATCCACACTGAAAAGACAGA